AATGCCGAGGATAGTTGGGAATGCTGTGCTAAGTGAGTGTCAATCACCCAAGTATGTCATGATAGGAAGAATAAGGAATACTGCTCTTATTATTGTTACTTTTTTAAGGGTGTGTAACAGTGAGATTCATGGATAACAATGACATCAGAGAAAAAAATAACATATTGATTTTAATCAGCGGAATTCCAAGATTCTGAAGGAAAACAATCCCCGTGGAAATACAGAGCAGAGCTCCGCTGAGACTAATATGGAATGATGATTAGGAATACATGAAGAATGAAGTGTGGAATACTGATAAGACTGGTGGAATACTGAGACTCAGACAATATACTGAGATAAACCAAGAACACACGTAAATAATGTCTTGAGATAGCATGGAAAACTGAGCTATGCTGTGGAATTCTGAGGTCAGTAAGGAATACTGAGGTTGGGTGATGAATAATTACATTAATGAGTGGTAATGAGCAAGTGTTTGGAAAACAATGAACAGTGGAAGATACAGGGCTTAGCAAGGACTGGTCAGATTGATATCGAATACTTTTAAGTCAAAGAATACTGAGGTTAGTAAAAAAAAGGTCAAAGAATACTGAGGTTAGTAAAAAATACGTTATGAGAAAATAGTGACACTTTTAAGGAACTTTCAGCTGAGATACATTTAGCCGACTAGAATTTACTGAGTTAAGGAATTTGGATCGGATTAGAGCAGGAATACTTAATTATCTCGGGCAAACTGACAGCAGGATTAAATGAGAATAAAAATGTAATGAGATAACTCTAAGAATAAAATCTCTTCATCAATCTTTGGACACACACACGTATTATGCACAGTATTGGACAATTTTTACCATAAACCCTTTAATAAGGAATGTGATAAGAATACAATATTATTAAGTATTTTTAATTACATGTATATATAGTGTAGACTTGAAACAGATAAATAATTAATAACTTTATTGATTTTTGAAGATTTTTCTGACCGTGCTTATCGGAGGAGTCTTGGTGTAAATATGACATTAGGACAGAGGGAAATTTATTAAATTATTCCTGACAGTTCAAAGAGCACAACAGGAAACCGGGGAGAAGCTCATGGAGCGAGAGTGATAAGACAAAGTAAAGGGCACGGTTGTTTTGGTATGAGGAACAGAAAACGCGCAAGGAAGCTTCGCTAATCTCACATTCCACATCTTAACTGTTTATTTACATCTCTGTGAAGGCGTACAGAGGAAGAATAAGTGAGCGAGCAAAGGCAGTACACAGGGTGGAGATTATTCCCTTAATTACTTTACTTCAGCCTCGCATCAAGAGTCAGCTCCGACTTTATTCGTTGTCCTGCAGGAATTCCTTCAAACAGACAAAATAACCTCCAATAACAACAACAACATCAACAGCAAAATGCAATCCTATTATTTAAAGATAACAAGCAAAAAATAATAATCTAACAATGAAGCATGGAGTGAAGCTGCAGTGAAACAACTCTGAGATCTTCAAAAAGCAGCTGCCGCCGGGGGTGAAGCAGGATGATTTCTGTTTTTTTTTCTTCTCCTCCTCCTCTTCCTGAAACAGCAGAGTATTTTGAAAATCATTTCTTCAACATTGTTTCTTTTATCCTTCCTTGTGTTCTCTTATGTCCTCACTAATGTTTCTATATATATATATTCTTATCCAACGTTGTGAGTAACTTTGCAATGTCTTCCTCTAAAGGTCATTGCTATAGTGATGAAGCTCTACTTAACAGACAGGATTTACCTTGTCTCCCTTGGTTCTTTAAAGGCCTCGACCTTTCCTCCTGTGTGAGTCAATCTGTCTCTGTTAGCAGAATGAAATTTAATGTCTCTGGGTTAGGTGAAAATTTGGGCAGCAGAGGTCTCTGAACAAAAGAAAGTTCAACTGCATTCAAGCCCTGGATTTTCCTGGAGTCCCCAAATGCATCACGTTAGTCAACTACATTATTCTCTAAAATGCACTACAATACTGCAAAGAAACAACTAAACAAGCTGCAACAAAACTAATCAGGGACGTTCTGTGGGGCTAAATGACGTTAAAAAACCATAGTCATTAATTAAAAGCAAGACAACAAAAAACAAATTACTACAGAACGTCCGTCCAATCAGCGCCGAATAAACCGGTGATTTGAAAAGAGAGAGCCAATCAATGCTAAGTTGGAGGCGGGACATCTAAACGAACATCCAATCATACTACGCGCCACACAGGTAGTCGAATAAATAGAGGGGAGACAGGAAGCCAGGGGGCGGAAGTACAGCGGTCACCCGGGAAAAGGCGTATCTGGCACGTTTCCGGTAGGAAAGATACACTTCAAGGTATTTCACTTTTAACGTCCACGAAAACAAGAAACTAAATTAACCGCTTGGAAAGACAGTGAGAAAAATAGCGCGACAAATTTGCAACGTCATTTATATGCATGTCATTATTTTTTCCAAGAAAAGTAAGTTGAAAAGTATGTTTCGCGATTATTATTAAAAAATACAGTTAATACTAAATTGTCGCTAAAGCTAATTCGCAATTTGGCCAAAAGACTAACATTAAATAAAAAACTGGATATTACTTTGTATGTAAACTAATATTTAAACTAGTAGGCATATTTTAACCGTATGCTAATTTTATGCTACCACTCAGCTCTCTACGTGTCTGGAAACCCAGCCCTTCTTAACCATATTTGTTTTTAATATGATTTATTCATTAACAAATAATTTCAGGAAGTATTTGTTATGATAATATTCAATGGGGATAATGTCAGGTCAACAAAGTACCATTTTACAACATACTTTGTTAAAATTCTTATTTTTATACTGGTACATTGGTACATCCCACCGGAAGTAGCCATGGAAGTAGCTAAAACGGGGCTAGCATTATGGTTCCTGCATACATAGCAAGGAGAATAACATCAGCATATTGTACGTTTTATAGCTAGATTGAACCCCTCTTAAACACAAACTGTTTTTTTCTCTGAAAATGTGAACATGTCGACACCTATGTGTGGACAGGAAATATAAATATGTTGACATATAGCTTAAGGTAACCACAAGTCATCATAAGTACATATTTAAAAATAAAACCCTGATGAAAATGTTACCGTGACAAAAAAAAAAGAAAAAAGAAATGTCCTCAGTGTTGTTTCTCAAGCACATTACAGAGAAAGTCTGACTCATTTTTAAGTTCACCTTAATTCGTATGATTCACAAAACTTTTCTCCTACCTGTAAGTTTTTAAAGTCTGCTAACAGCTCAATTCAAAGTGGGGAAGAATGTCTATTTATAGGTGAGTAACTAATGACTTGACAGTTAGGTAATTTTTCACAAAAGTTAGGCACCAGCATAGTAATTATATTTCATTTTAATTCATGTTAATAGTTTTGTTTTTTCCACTTTTTCACCCTGAAGTGTAGCGAGAAATTAACTCCTTCTGGACCAAATAGGCAAAGTTGTAAGAAGAATGGATTGTGGTTGAAGGCAGTGTTAACAGTAGTGTGAACTATGAACTACGATAAATGAACTATGGTGTGAAGAAAGTTGCACTTTGAAAAGACTGCAGGCGGAGCGAAAGGTGAAGGAGTGTGAGGTGGACAGGAGTAGAAATGATCATTTAAAATGTGATCCAGATATGGTTGAGAAAGTTGGATATGAAGAGGTTTTTGCTGTGCTTCATTTTCTCTGTAAAAAGCGGGGAGAAAAAAAATGTTATGTGTTGTGATCTGCTGAAAAAAAATAACTAATATTAAGGGGAGCAGGCAGCAAAGGTTCACTGGCAAAGTGGAGAAGGACATGAAGGTGGTGGAGGCAACAGTGATGAAGGCATGGATGGAGTCAATTGATTTGGTCTGGTGAGTTCTGAAGAGAGCTGCCGTAAGAAGAGGCTTGGTCAATCAACCTCTTCATAAACGACTCCAGTCTCTTAGACCAGACATAATTGTGGGGATCAATACAGTGGAAGAGTGAGACATTTATTCTGTTGCCTGTCAATCTACAAAAATCATTCCACAGATTTAAAAATGTATTTTTTTTAACCTTGAAGTCTACCTTGGAGTCTAATTGAAGTGACCTCAACCAGAATTTTTTTTCAACACTTCAATAAAGTGATGGACATTTCAACGTCATCACAATACCCTCAGCCTGGTATTGCTGTGTTTTGTTTTATATTGGCTTGTTTGACAGTGAATGGAGACCATAAAATGGTACAAGTGCTTTTGGATGTCATCTCTAAATCACTGTATTGATCCCAGTAGCTGCTGCTGAGCGACTGTCAGTGGATTTGTCAATAAGAACACAAAGGGAAAAAAAAGTCTTTTTGTGTTTCTCAACCCCTGTGTACCAGCTTGCTGACACCCCCACTCCATTACCCCTTGAGGGGGTAGATTCGGGCTGTTGGTTTGGCTACAAGCGAGTGTTGCCATGATCAACATCATCCTATCCCAGCTTGCAGTGCGGTTGTCATGGTAATGGACAGTTTATTTGCCGGGGCTCTCTGGACTCTGGATATTTAGGAAACATACACTCTGCACTCTGGGAAGTGAAGGTTAGAGAGCGAGGCGGGGAGAAAGGGAGAAACGGCGTCTGTCAGAGGCACGTGGGAGGATGAGTGTGATAGAGCAATGAATATATTTACTATCTGTAGACATGTATTCATATTATTTACACAACAACTGACCAATGGGGGCCACGGAGGCTTGTTTATTTTAACTTGCCATGTTTTTCTTGGTAAAAACATTTTTTGTTGTGACAAATGCGGGCATAACCTAACAAACATGAGTTCCACCAGAATGAACAACATGATTTGAGTGTGAAATCTAACATCTTATTGCAGCGTTCCTTTAAAAATTTGAAATTGTAATCTTGCAGTGTTCCACTGGTAATGTAATTTGGTGCAAATCACCTCATATTATTGTTTTTATTGTTTGCTGCATAACTTGCTGGAAAACTGAATATTAGGCTGTGGTAATGTAGGTCACATGACTCCTATCCAAAGTGTTCAACTGGACTGGAGCAGTTGAATGGTAGATTGTAGCTTTATAATAATAATAATAATAACAATAATTTGAACTTTATTGACCCCATTTTATTGATTGGAGGCACCAATGGGTATGTGGGTCTTTTAGGAATCGAACACAGCACCATCTGTTCTGTGCTTTTGAGGCAGGCGTGCTAACCGCTACACTATGACCTTTAATATATATATTTTTTTCTTTTCTGTTTTCCAAATATTGATTCTGTTACTCCTTCGTTTTTAAATCTTGTGATACTTTTAAGTACATACTTTTTTTTTCTTTTCTTTTCTTTTTTTTTTTAGGTTTAAGTTGCAGAATAAGTAACTGCATACACCTGTCCTGGTGGAGTCGGCTCCTCCTCCTGCTCCTCTCGCCCCTCCCTCTGTCGCTGCGCTCTCCGCTGACTGTCTGCCGCCTGGTATTGAGTGTCGGTTCTTCTGCGGGAGGAAGATCAGGTTTCCACTTGTCTCCCCCTCTCTCTCTCTTTCTATCTCTCTCCGTCCTCCCTCTGCCTCTCCCTTTCTCCTCCTCCTTCTGCTGCTGCTCCATCGTTGCTCTCCTTTCCTCTCCGTCAGCAGCACACATCCACACTTTGGGACTGGAAGTTTCCCCGGAGCGGAGCGCGGTGCCGTGGGTGCGGTGCGGTGCGCGGCGCGTCTGGAGGATGAAGCGACATTAGGAGACGGAAAGGAGATTTAAAAAAAAGGAGGACAAAACCTAACCAGACTGAGCAGGAGCTGGATCGACAAAGCAGGTATTTAAACACTTCACTGCAGAGTGGACTAATTACACTGCAGGACTTCTGCACGGGACTGGAAGTGACTTGGATCCTCGGTTAGCTGGCGGGGTTTTACAGTTCTTATTTAGTGACAGTTTGCCATGGGACAAAAATGCAGCTATGTAGTGTTGTCGCAAAGTTTTTATTTTTTTAAATTTTTATTTTTTTAACACCTACCACAAAGTAAAGGGGACAAAAAGTTCTAATAGACTTTAAACTGATAAAATAAAAGATAAAACTTATCTTAGAGGCACACGGAAGTTTTAAATAGGAAAACATTAATATTCGATGAAATAAATATCAACCACCCCAATAACCAGGGTGTGTATGTGTTTTTAACAATTTAGAGAAAAATAAAGTAAACATTTAAATAATAACATAGAAACATAATATTCGATGAAATAAATATAACCAGGGTGTGTATGTGTTTTTAAACATTTAGAGAAAAATAAAGTAAACATTTAAAAAGGAATAATATAAATATACACATCTTTATTATAGTCTTTCTTCCCAACGCACATATCTGACCCACTTAAAATATCTTTTTGACCCACTTTGGTGAGTCTGACCCATCGTTTGGAATTGCTCTACTTCAAGTTCAGGAAATTGTTTTTCAAATAATGATACAACTCGACCAAAAAAAAACAACAACAAATAAATAAAAAAGTTATGTTATATGAGCACAGTTAGATCGGTCACAGGGTCACAGTACGGTCTGTAATTAATATTCAGATAGTCATTATTGTCAGTAGTGTTTGCTCAGGTACCAGAGCGGCAGCTCCTCAGGGGTGTGAGTGTGAGTGTGAATGTGGAACCATGTCATGGTCAGAGTGGTTTTGCTTGTTGGGTGACGAGTGTGAGGAGGGTGTAAATACCACAGGATTTTCCACCGCTGCACCATCACCAGTGTTGGAGAGCAGCCACTCTTAGTGTTTCCTGCTCCACCTGCAGTTTTTCTGCCTCCAATGCAAAAAAAAAGTTCCTGCAGGTCGTGTTCTCAATTTGGCTGTCACTAAAGCTGGTGTTCTCCGGTGAGAAGTGTAGATGATTCAGGAGTCATGGAAACTGACAGCTCCACTTTTAAGTTTTTAACGTGCACGTGTATGTTATTCCATTGTAGTGACATTTTTAAATTAAAACTAATTGGAGGATATAAAAAAAAAATGATAATAATGTAAGAAAAAAAGACAGAAAAACAAAGTGAGGCGTCTACTGTCTGCCCAGACAGAAGATGCCTCAGAGTGATCCTCCAGATTAAAGAGAAGCTGTAGGAGGATAAAAACAAGTCGAGGGGATTTCTTGCAACCTGACAACCCAGACATCGTTTTAATCACTGGCTTATATCCGCCCAATTGAACACGTATACTTCACACAAAATAATCTGTAATACTTTTAAGTCTCTCCGAAGACTCGTAAAAGCTTTGCATAATTCTCGCCAATTGTAAAGTTAGCAATTTTCTGCCTCACAATATTGAGACCATCAGTTCATTGCAGAGGTCTTTTCTCATCATGGTTGCCTCCTCTTTTGTAGTGTTCTGTGTTTACTGTGTGTATCCAGTACATTCATTAAATCCAGTGCTGCACTGGTCAGTGTCTACACCAGCTTCCAAACCAGACACCATAGCAGGTCCTGCAACCATCTTGTGAACCTCTTCTCTCTTATGTTGACTGTTTGTACTTTGGACCTTCATAATAAGGACGCAGAATGTTATACCGTAATTATATTAAGATTTTATAGTCAGTATGTCTGTGGCTGGTCTGTTTCATGATGTGCCATGATGGTATCGATCAATTTGAATTGAATTATTTAATCTGGCTGATTATGCACGTAGTCCTAATGAAAGTGAACGTGGTTTCACTGGGTTTGAGCCCAGTGGAACCATGTCCTTGATCCTGTATGTCTAAGACGCTAGTTTGGATAAAAGCTGCGTGCATTAATGTCAATGAAATATCTGTTAAAACGTTGACTCTACCTTTTTTGGGGACTTCCGTAGAGTCAGAAGGGTTGTGTTGTCAAACAGTGAAGGTTGTTCACCTCCTGACCCAGTTTCAGATTCTTAGAGCCGTGTTGTAAATGAGAGGTTTTAATAGATCACGGAGTGAACTTTAAGTTTGTTTTCTTTTGTTCACAAAACACACAAGTTGAGAAAAATCCCACCAACAACTTTATGCTAAACCCTCATCTCCACCTGCATTGACATAATTAATTAATTAGAATGAATGAACACTGTGGAGGTGCTAATTCTTCCTATTGTTTTGATTTGAAAAAGTCCATATATCTGGTCCTTGAAGGCTGGGATTTTTGTAAGAGAAATCTAATGTTGTTTTCTTTTTTTTTCTTTTTTTCAAACTCTTGCTCCAGCAAGCAAGAGCCCTGTTTGCCATTGTGGAAATGCAGAAGTCAGACTCGCTTGTGTGCTAATATATCATTGAGGAAATTCCTCCTTCTGAGGATGCATGTGCAAAGGATTGTGGGTACATAGTCCACCTGGGGAATTTGCAACATGCAGACGTGCAGTTTGTTTGTGGGAGGCTTTCGGTGCTTTGTAGAATTGAATATTCTGAGCGTTGGACCAGTCCTACGGTAGGGTCTGGTGTCCAATGTCCATGGCATCTTGTTTGTATGGCTCTTCAGGGATGACTCTGCTGTCCCCTATTGACTTTGAAAGGCAACAACAGTCTGTTTGAGTCCCTGTTATCTGGTGTAAAGACAAACTGTACTTCAACGCTGTTTTTTTCACGATGTTATAAAGGATGACTTTGAAAAAGGACATGTTAAATTAAGAATGTCTGCTTCCTGTGGCCTTTAACCCAAACTTCAGGCATGGCAATAACAGAGAGTTTATATTGCTGTATTTGAGAAAGTTTTGGGCTGAATGCCCTTTGTAATGAAATCTCTCCTGTTTATTGGGGATTGAAACTGGCGTGCGGCGGCTTGAGTTTGATGACCAGCAACTGGAATGACATCCAGGCCGTCTGTGTGGAAAACAGACTCTCGAAAATACCTAATTGGATTAGACGTTAGAATAAAACTGTGTCCATGCAGTGTGCTTTTATGCAGCAACTTTTAATCCAGACTTATGCTGCGTATAATATATCTTAATACATACGATATAAAATGTATTTAGAAGCATCATCAAGTGTAAAAAAACTTGCTCCATCATAATCTCCCAGGAATCGTGTTTAGGGAAATAATTTGATGGTAAATCTTTCTGTAAGATGTTTGAGGCATTTCAAACTTAAAGATTCACTCAATGGAAAATGAATATTTTAAGTTGCATGTTTTATTACTTACATCCATCAAATATAATTTTAAGATTAATTATATTTCTTCCTGAGACGGTGGCAGAGGTTTTGGAATTGTTTTGTTTTGTGCAACAAAGCTGCACTACTTTTCTTTTTTCTTTTTTTTTGGTCACTGTCTGAATCTTGTCTTATATATTGTTACAACATGTATCTGTGATGTACACAGCACAGTACCCTGTCAGACTCAGATATGTGTGGCTGAAAAAGCAGAACAGTGTAGATATCTGTTTGGGACAGAACCAAGAGACTGATGATTGGCCAGGATTTTATGACACCATATGATTATCTATCTGCCACTTCTCTCATCTGTCACATTTCATTTCGATGCAGCAGAAAAGTGACATTTGCTTCCAGCTGGTGTTCCTGAAAATGTCACCCTCGGTGCACACAAATACACAAACACTTTGGTTTTATCGCCTCACATCAGCAGCACGGCACAATGTTAAACTCTGACATTTTATTAAGGAAAATATTTAGAATACATTGCAGTAGTTAGATTCATTCATTCAACAGCTCCGCGTAATGGAGTGTAAAGCTGTGGTGTGCAGGTGGGGTTGTGTTGAACAGGGTCAGGGTCTTATTCTGGAGGAGGAAAAAAAAAAAAGAAAAATCGTTGACCTGGAAACTGATATCATTAGGTTTGAAAGCATTACAACCATAAAGGCAGCTTTTCTTTAAGTAAAACATGTAGGATAGAAAATATGTAATGGACTTCAGTCATTGTCACGAAAAATGATACATGTACATGTTCTTGTCAGTCACATGGGGAGCTAGAATGGCATCTCTGGGGGTATGGGGGGGCGTACTGGAGCAACGGCAGAATTAGGCAAAAGGCTGCATGGTTGACCCGTATCTGATCAGCTCTCCGTGTAATGGGTGAGGAACGGTAGCCCTCCAGTTGCTCGGTGGTCCTCGTGGGATTCTAAAGGTCTCCTTAGGCCGATGGCCGAGGTGACTCGTCTGAGCGTCCGTCTCGCCGCCGCCGCTAACACACTCTGACGAACGGCCTAGTAACCAAAAGCACTCTATGCGACCGCACTCATTCGTGACAGCTGACCTCTATTTTTTTTATCCATTTTATTGTTAAGACACATTAACGTACTGCCAATGCAGCTCCTGAGGATCGCCAGGGTTAATGGATATTTTAACATTTGGAACTCGTCGTGGCCCCAGGAAAATTGCCTGTGACAAAACTGCTGTCCCTCCCTTAGCACATGACTGTCAA